GAATCGTGTACCATTTGCTTTGGGTACAGGATCGATTGCATGTGCTATAATATTTGTCATTTCTAAATTTTTCCAAATGCCCAGAGGCATTAAGAAGGGAAAAGGTCTAGAATTGGATATGACTAAAATGATTAAGCAATTGTCGAGGACAATCTGAGGTTTACCAAAGATTGGTTGCTCAGGGACAGTTGGAAGTATAGTGCTAATTTTGGAAGGACCATATTGACATATTCTGAAAAGAGGCATCTCTTATTCAGAAGTGATAGTCAAAATGAGAATATGGAGTTGTCTCCATAGGTGGAAGTTATCTGTGTAAGATTAGAAAACTTAATGCAAGAAGCATGTCCAAAGCAATGTACTTTGAATATGAGACTTAGTTTCCATGGAGTTGATCTCCATTGGAATACCTTATAATGACTGTTGACAAGTCTTTGTGACTTTGTACATATTCATTACAGGAGGGTCAGTGCATATAAGTTTAAAATCTAAACAGATTTCGATAAATGATAGGAATTTGAAATTCTCACATTTTTCGATAAGGATTTGGGAGTGTGAAATTAGAATCATTGAAATTATGTTCAATTGGTTTATTTCACAAAGTAAGGATCATAGACAAACATAGAGTGCATACTTGGTGTATGGCAAAGCTATTGTTTAAGAAAAACATAGTGTACATGCTTGGAGCATGGGACAACTAGTGTTTTTAATTCAAGTATAAAGTTGATAAAACCGAAACAATGAATAATGAGTAATCAGTATGGTGATAAATAAAAGTGTTTATTTATATTCATAGGGTTTGATACCATATTTGATTCATTTATTCTTGTGTTTCACTTTGCATGTTTTGACTTCCAGAATAACTAAGTCGCTCTTCCTGAATGATTAAGTTATTCAAACCATCCACAGTCGGTCATATGTTGGAAGTAGATATGAATCAAGACTGTCATGGGTTGGTTTGTAGAGGTCCAAGTTGGTGGACAAAGTGGTGCTACAACACTCATGAGTGCTCATAAGTTCTGAGTATTGGATTCAACCCGCGCTCATTTGAATCACTTCATGGATTTTATCACGAGTGATCATGAGACGATAATATCTTATATTCTTCAAACCTAGAGATATGAGTTGTTACTATGAGTTGGTTGTACATTGATTGCACGAAAACGCATTCGGTAACTCGATGTTATAAAACGTGCCTTTGTGTATGATTCAACAAGTAGTAGAACAAGCCATATGAGTCGAAGTTTATCCATTCCTTTTACCTTCGGGATAAAAGCGATATCTGTGGGCCCCTCGATGATTTAAAGATGATACATGTGAGTGCTTGGCCAAGCCAGGACTGATTTGATTTGTTCAATCAGTCAGTCATCATGAATCAGAAATCGGGAAACAACAAATGGACAGAGAGAATGATTGATAATCCATGTCTCAGTCCATATGATATCTAGAATGGAGGAATATATGATCCCTTATCTAATGGATAAGTCATTGACAAAGGTCAGAGTTCATCGACAAGGTCAGAGTTCGACAGAAGCTTTTGAGAGCTACGATTGCTGATCAGTTCCTGAAGTCATACGCAATAATAGTTTTAGACTTATCCAAGTGGGAGACTGTTGGATTAATGTCTAAGTCCATAACTATAATTGGTAAGACTTGACCCGACCCGGCATGGTCCATTTGGGTTGCATGGCATCATGCATTTGGATAGACTATAATGAGAGAAATAACACTTAAGGTTGGTTAATATATTATAAGTTCTAATATATTAATAAGGTTATTTAATTAGTATTGATCAAGAATTAATTTGGAATTAATTAAGTGATCAAAATGAGACTAATTAAATATATGGGTTGATTGTGTAAATCATTCATTCTTATATATGTGGGCTTGTGATCCAAGATTCCTTATGTTGGACTAAGTCCATGGAGTGACCCATGGATACTCCATGGAGGTTAAAATCCATGGAGCATAAGGAATGGGTAAAGTTATGAGTTACATGGTGTAACCCTAATAGCCACCATATAAAAGAATCCCATGGCTCAAGAAATCAGGCACTAATGTGTGAATATGAGGGCTAGACGATTTCAAGGAATGTTCCATTTCTCTCAAGTCATTCCATGTGCATTTGGTGTTGTGTGAACCATTTGAGGTGTCACACTTGGGGCACTAGGCACTCAAGCTTCATGGAGACAAGCTACATCAAACAAAGGTATGTATTCTATCCATTTGATTACCCAAGTATCAAGTATTGTATGCTAGATAGGGTAATACCTTGGAAAGTTCATAATTGCATGTATAATAGAGAAAACATAGATCCAAGGTATTTAGGGTTGCATGTACACTTAGGAGTGTTAGAATGCTCAAAATTCCATCAGAAGCATCATTCCTTGCAACTAAAAGAACCTTCTTGATATTTAAGCATCATCAAAATATCATAATAAGCATTCAAAAGAGGAGAAAAAGATAGGGGAGGAGCTCATATCTTGAAGATGAAGGCTAGGGTTTCTCCTAAGGGGTTCTAGATATGATGGAGGCTGCTAAAATGCCCAAAAATGGGGAACCTTATGCTTATATACGTTGAAAACCCTAAAATCATGGGCTTAGGCCTGATAGACTACCACTCCATGGCCATGTTTCTCAACTCTGTGGCCTGCCACTCCGTGGGCTCTGATCTACACTCCAGGGCGATGGTTTTCACCCAAATCCATTCCATCTTCAATCAACCATAATTTCATCATTTCAACTCCATTTCGGTGATCTTTATATGCACGAAAAGGTATTGACGAGCCTCACAACTCTATCTAATTACTTCTGCCTTAAAACATACCAAACTAAAATCCATAATTCATTAAAGAAGTCTGGAACATCACTTTTCCCATTTTACCCTTTGAATCCAAAACACAAACCAAGGGCTTAGATCACATAATCAATATTATCAACATCCAATAGGGTCTAAACCCTATTCCCTTGAAGCCCAAGACCTTTACTTGATCCATTTATTGTCCACAATCCTGAAATAAGAAACTTCTCGAAACAGAATGTTACAATGGATGATCAAGATATGCCCCTTGAAAATTATATGAAAGACCAGGATCTGGCCCCTGACAGTTGTATGTAAGAACAGGTTCTGGCCCCTGACAGTTGTATGTAAGACTGAGATTTGCCCGTCGGCATTACAAGGAAAGACCATGATTTGGCCCATGGCAAGATATGACTATGAGAGTGTGATCAGGCCCATAGCATTCACCCGGGGTTTGAGTAGACCCGTTATTTCATATATAATTGCTACGCTTGTTATGTTGATAGGAGATTTGGTAGGTCGACGCTAGAGTCGAACACTTTGTTTGGATGCATTGAATATATGATGGAATATGTCGTATACTAGAAAATTCACTAAGATTTATGTTTATAGTTATGGATTAAACATTTTGCAGGTCGTTGGTGAGAAGAACTCAGTGGAATTGTACACACGAATCAAACATATTTGTTACCGTGATTTTGTAAACTTAACTTTGATAATGTATGTTTTTCACTCAATCAAATGTTATTTGATGGTTTTTGAAACAAATGTTAAATTGGTTAACATATTTCAAAAATGATTTTTTTTTGTAATTTTTGGGACATTACACATTGTCCAGTATTTGGAGAGTTTCAACCGCGTCCAACTTCCCTCGCTTCTACTATGATAGAGTAATATTCGATCTTTCCGGACTTAAATTTCGTTTCCTAAACCATACCCATGAACCTTTAGGTTTTAGAGGGTTAATTTTTTTTTGTTTATTTTGATTTAGCATCAATGATGGTTTAGAGGTTGGGTTTTCACGATTTTGAATATTTTCTAGTGTTGCGAAGACAATCAATGTGGAGTGGTGAGCATCCTTACCTTTTTTTTTCTTTGTTTCGAGTAGAATTAATGTTTTTTTATTCACAGGTCTTTTTAAGGTTCTGTTTTGTTTGCATAATTCAACTTATTTTTTGAATTTATTGCATGTTAGTGTTTGACGGGACCACAAACGTAGTGTATCGTAGCTTATTAGTTAACTTTTTTTTTTGTAAGCTATGCTAGATAGAACGTTGATAAGGTAGTTTTTCAGCTACCGCACCAAACACATCTAAGAGTTTCTCATATCTTTCTAGCAATACCCCGGAGAAAAATAGAAAAATATTAGGTGTTACTGGCTCCGACCTATAATTAGCAATCACATATTTTTATATTAACCAAAATAATGTATTATCAAATAATACATTTAAACAAAAGATCTTTGAGTGGGCATTGATCAAATTTAGTCGATTACCATATCTAAAAACGCCGTTGAAACAAACACTCACCGAGTATATCATTTCAAATTGAAAAAGAAAAAAAAAATTATAAGTTATTTAAGATAACTTATTGACTAAACATTAGATAATTTATTAACAATTAGTTTATTGTAATTAACAAATCCCTACTCTAATAAATGAATAGTTTTAATATTTTTTTGTCAAGTGTCACTCTAATACAACTCCTTATTAATATTATGTCATGTGTCATGTAGATATATTAGGCAACTAATTTCAAAATTCAAATTTACATTTTCTAATTATATGTTAAATTTGAAGTTATAATAACTTTAAAATTTTGACATATATCTTAATTAATAATTTATTTAAAATGACTTATTTAAAATAACTGATTAATAATTATAAATTTTTATTATAAAATGTTAATTAATTTTATAATCGTGATTCTCACGGTTATAACTAGTTAGTTTATAAAATAAAAGTCATTCCAAACACATTTATAAAGTTTCTCATATCTTTCAAGCAATACACGGAAGAAAAATGGTAACTACTATCGGCTCCAACCCAATTCGTAATCAAATATTTTTATAATATTCGTAATCAAATATTTTTATACTATTCGACAAAACATTGTCTTATCCATGATACATTTAAACAAAAAGATCTTTGATTGGGCATTGATTAAAATTAGTCGACTCGATCCCAGATCCAAAACGCCATTGAAACAATCACTCACGAGTACATAATTTCAAATCGAAAAACAAAAGACTCACCGAGTCAAAAGTAAACACATGATATCAAATTCAACATTGTGGAAGGTCGGAAGGTGGTGGAGGCAACTTCTGGTTTGGGTCCATGACTGCCCACGCCATTCTCAGTCCCCAACTCAGGTGGATCTCAATATGACAATGCATAAACCAGACCCCTGGATTATCAGCTCGGAACCGGACAGCCACCCATCCACCAGAAGGGACGCCAACAGTGTTTCTTTCAACGGGATCAACAAGATTGAAGCTAGTTGGGTCTGTAGCAGAATTAAAGTTTCCTGTACCTTGTCCCACTACGTAGAAATTAAATCCATGAAGGTGGAGAGGATGGTTTTCAAAGCCAAAAATGCTGGTACCTTGCATCACCAGCTCCACAGTGGTATTGTATGGCAGCACCACCACTTTTGTGCCATGGGAAATCATGGTGTTGTTGGGTGGGGTACCCGTGTAATTAAATGGATTCAGAGGGGTGGTAGGGAAATCAGTGGTGAAAACTCCATTTGATTTTCCAAAGTACCGAGCTTGAAGAAGTGCTGTTGTTGGTAAAGTGAAGGATATGTTGTTAACTGAAGCTGCAAACTTGGTGCCATTGATCGGCCCTTGACATGTTTGATTTTTCGGGCATGGGTCAGTTCCAAGACCTACCGCAAAATAATACCGATTTTGTACAGTTTGTGGAACGTTCACAGGGAACTGTGAAATACCCAAACTACGAAATTTATTGGTCCAATTTGCCACATAGGAAGTGGCATTGATAACTGGTAGTGTAGGTAAGGGAAGGCCTTTGATGGAAGCATTAATGGAAGATGACGACATGGAATCACTCATGTATTCAAGAACTCCGGCAACGGTGGTGTTGTCAAAAGTTCCGGCAGCATTTGTGGAATAGGGTCTTGCTGCCATCATGAATTTGGCATTGGAGGTGAGGGTTTTCGTCTTGAAGAGAACATTACTCGTTTGGCCCGGTGTGATGTAGATTGTATCTGTTTCAAATGGCTTCACATAACTCGCATCGGCATCAACAATGGTAAATGTATGATTTCTAATTTTGAAAAAGAGTTCATCATTGAGGGCAGCATTAATTAAACGGAGAAGGTATGTCTTTCCTGGCTTCACCTTAAGCCGAAACGTTTCTGCATGCAATCACAAAATCAAGAAGAGAACAAAAAGATATTAACATGTTATACAACGATCTTTAATAATTATGTACCCATTGGTGAAGCACAATTGTTATACAATGGTCCAGGCAGCCCGTTAATGGTATAAGCATCTGAATTATTCGGGCCAGCTCCGGTCTGAAGGGCTTGGTTAATTACAGCTTGCGTATCGCTGTTCCACCACTCCCCTATTAATTAACAAGACGTAGTTTAGTTTAGTACAAAAACGATAATTCGCTAAAAGGTTAACTAAGAAAAAGAAGCCCGTTAATTAGTTACCAAATATAATAGGGACTTCCTTGTAAGGCTTCACAAAAGGGTAGGAAGTATTGCGTCTAGGGAGAATGACAATTGGGCCATAAAGGGTTGACCTAATCCATGAAACATGGGCGTGATACCAAAGTGTTCCTGTTTGCCCGATAATGGTGAAGTTGTAGACATACGATTGGCCGGTTTGAATCGGGCATTGTGTTATGTATGATGGCCCATCAGCCCATCCGCTCCGAAGTTGTCGAATTCCATGCCTACCCTCATCAAACAATCGTTTAATATTAACACCACAAGGCAAAAAAAATATGATGGTAAATCCGACAATCAAGAAAAGTTAAATACGTACCAATGGATAGTGATATTGTTGGAGACATGATTAACCACTTTAATCACCAATCGGTCGCCTTCCCTAGCGATAATCCTTGGACCCGGGAATTTGCCATTGACAGTTATTATGCTTTTGGTTTGACACAACCTCGTCACATTTTGCATCCGTATCTGAATACACACATCATATATCAATAAAGATATAAAACACACGTAAAATAATAGAATCTGTAGTAAACATCAAACTTACGTTAAACTTATAGTGCCTGGTGATACCAGTGGAACCAGGATTCGCTAATGGCAGTTGAGGGTACATGCAAAGACAGAATGTAAGAAAGAGAGAAGCGGCAGGCAAGAAAGTTGATGGTAGATCCATGTTGATTGTATTTGGTGTGTTATGGTGGGTGATCGGAATGATGGAGGGTAATGGTTTATATAGGGATGAATCATGAATGTATACTTGTGAAGAACATATATATTTTACCTACTGCATGTGGTCCAGTTATACCATAGAGTGGTGTTAAAGTCAATATATCTGATTTTGACTTGCATCCTATTGGTTATCAACTCATCCAATTTCTAGTATGACTATGTTGCCCTTTGTTTCAAACCTACAATGGCAAAAAGGGTAAGTCTGTCGTATCAGGTACTTTATCTTCTATCATAAAATCACCACCAATTTTACTTAAAACACTTCAAGAATCAACAAAGCAGTTTTTACAAAGCGAAAGCGCATAGTCTTCTCGACTTTAGTTTAAATTTACTTGATCATCTCTTTATGTGTTTATTGAAGGATATTTAATTTAGATATACTTAACAGTAATAAAGAAATTTATTTTAACAAGATTTAGAATTAAAAGTTTTACAAGAGGAATAACTTTTTTCGGGACACCATTTTAATTTGAAACTCAAAACAAATGAGTTATACTTATACGACTTGTCAGTTATACATATTACTCTAAGTTTACTAGTTTATTTTCTCTTCAAAGGGCTACCCATAAATAAATAAATACAGACTAGCAACACACTCTATCCAGTACTTTATATATGTGTCTTTCTCCTTTATGCATGGGCGGCTCAACCATTTTCACTACAAGAATAAGCATCTATAGGGACGACAAAAGGCGTTTCTATAGATCATCTATAGAGACGACATGTCGTCTCTATAGAGTTGACCAACATTTTTTGACTCGTTAATCCACAGAGACGACATGTTGTTGCAACAGGTTACGCCATAGTTAGCTCTCCAAGTTAGGTGAGAATTTTCGCAGGACGTCGTTTTGTCTAAGGGTGTGGAGCAGTGTGTACAATCAGTCAGAGCCCGAACGGTGATTTCCCAAAATACCCTTACTTATTTGTGTTATAAGTTATTATTGAGATATTAGTGATGCATGCTAGAAGATAGGCTAGGTATTTCATATTTTAGGGCTAGAGTTGTCTGATTTGTGATGCCTTAGCCTAGGAATTGTTGCTATCTGTGATGTGCTTTGAGTATGTGAGGAGTAAGAGTATCCAACAGAAATCTTTTAGAGAGAACTTTGAGTAGAGGAGTAATCTAGGAGAGATACATAGATGAGCAATTGAGGAGTCTACTGAGGGAGTAGTGAGATACCCGCAAGAGGTAGGGTTGCTTGAGTTCAGTGATACCTTTTGAGTGTGAGTAGAGCAAGTGGAGTTGTAGCCTAGAGTGGTTTTACGTGTTGGTGGAGATTATTCGATACCCGAATGTTGCTTGCTTTGTGCTTTGTGGAGCTCTTGATGACGGGAGTCAGCTACCGAGTGAATATGACGATATCCAGGAGGTAGAAGGCTGGCATCATGAAGGTTCTTCAGCAGCTGATGGCAGCGAAGTGTGAGAACCTAGGAAGAGCCTGGGGAGTGACTTTAGTCAGAAGAGTACGCTGATAGAGGAGAGTATTCGCTGGATAGCGACTAGGTATATCGGGATTGGTGATCGAGGAGGTTGAGCAGCTACTTAGAAAGTCTGGGACGATCCGTGTGGAAAGTATGGGTAGATGTGGCAGGTAGTATGGGTCTGTACTACTAAAAGCAGAGGACTCGTACTCGAAACAGGGAGAATTCCAGAGGTTCTAAGTAGCAGATTGAGAAGTGATAACATGGTTCGAGTACCATGATTCGTAGCAGATTGAGGTGATAACATGGTTCGAGTACCCATGATTCGTAGCAGATTGAGAGGATATCACATGGTTCGAGTACCATGATTCATGGCGGCTAGTGCTTCTGGTTTTACCAGTTATCCCGTTGTGATTGATTAGACTGAGAACATATATGATAGAGTGTGGGGCCAGAGGGCCATGTCGAGCGAGTTTTAATGGAGCATACCTGGAGAGGGAAATCAAGTTAGTTTTGAGAGATTTTCATTAGTGAGATGCCAGTTGGAGTCGCAAGACACATGGATGAGTAGAGATGAGATTTTATGGAGAATTGCGCCCTGAGTTGAACAATCGGTCGATAGTTGATATGTCACTTTCTGTGACGAGAGTTGCGCTGTTCCCATTTTCCTGGGAGAATCAAAATGAGATATTGAGCTTCCAGTTTCAGAGTTGGAGGTAAACCCTGTGGGGTAGCATAGGGTTGCAACCTTTTCACCAGAGTATTTGGGCAGTATGTTGCTGTGAGGTATTCCATATACCACGAGAGAGCTATTAGTGGAGACTGAGATGAGGACAAAGAGATGCCTTAGTCGCGTCAGGCATGTTTTTAGCAGCGGTTTCAAGTGATCAAGAGGAGTATACTGGGTGGTGGCCCTCGTTGTCTACGTTGTGTATCGACTTTGAGAGTGAGGTCTCTTGCTTCCATGATGATTTCGGCGATGGGAGGCTGGTCGAGGAATTAGAGACGAGGTGTGTGATAGTGCTTTATTTCCAGATGGAGAGTCAGGACTAATTCGGAACAGTTGGAGTATCTTACGATGTGTCGGTCTAAGGCTTCGAGATGACTAGAGGCAGTCACGTCGAGAGAATTCTGAGATTTTTGTCTGAGTTACGGGATATTTGGAGTTGTTTGGTTTTCATCGGAAGATCATCGAGTGTTACGTGGTACGTCTCAAGAGTTAAGTGTGTTGTACCTGGTGAAACAGTCTATGGAGTAGACTGTTGGTATGTCAATTGGTGATGGTTCGAACCCTGAGTGGGGGAGAACTGAATATTTTATTAAGGGGATCGGAGATTTGTTCAGGTGCGGTTAGAGAAGTGATTATGGAGATCTGCGGTACGGGAATTATGAGACTTGGGTCATTGGTGGATGAGACAAGGTGCAAAGTGAGATAATGCAACCACAGTAAGTAGCCGTTGGCTAGGGACCTTATTGTGGTTAGGAGCTCTTCAAGTCATAGTGGTTGAGATTCGAGGCGGTTGGCTCGTTGGGGTCCGGTTTCGACTGTTGAGAATTTCTAGTTAAGTTATTATATGCACTCCAGGAAGGGGCAATAGTTGTTTGGTAGTCAAATTCAGAGTCGGTATGAGTATTCTCGCATGGGTTTTGAGCCGTAGAGGATGGGCTTTCGGATGGTCGTCGACGTGTTCTTGACATTGACGATTCCTCCGTGTCTCAAGTTGTGAGTTGGAGTATTTCGAGGTTGCGAGCTGTGCAAGTGGAAGATCAGTGGATGAGACAAGACATTGTGAGATTCTGAAAGAGTGTATTGTGGTATCCGAGTATGATGTCGTGAGTGGAAGATCAGTGTGTGAGACAAGACATCGTGAGATTTTGTGATGGTGTATCGGGGTATCTGAGTATGACGCCCTAAATTTTTGGATTATTTTGAGACTTGAGTTTGCAAGTGGAGTACCGAGTGACTATTGTTCCAGTGGGAACCCATCAGCTAGTTGTCGCCAGAGCGAGACTGTCTAAGGGTGTACCTGTGTTAAGAAAAGTTCCTTGCTTACGAGAATTTACATTAGGAGTAGTGGTGCATAGGCTGAGTAGGTGTGTGCACCTATCTATGTTGGGTTGTGGAGTATGAGTTAGTGAACTCAGTGTAGTGATGACTTTATGATGAGATTATGAGGTGATAATGGAGCGAGTGGATCTGAGTGGGGTAATCACTTAGGATTATCAGGGAAGACCATGGAGTAAGCCCATGGCGAGTCAGTGAGTGAGAGAGTGTTGTAATACTACGGGGAGCTGTAGCATCCATGAGTCAGCGAGAGAAATGGTATCGTGTGACTGCGGAGAGCCGCAACATACGTGAGTCAGAGAAAGGGTATCGTGTGGCTGCGGAGAGTCGTATCATATGTGAGTCAGAGAGAGTATTGTGAGACCGCGGGGAGCCGAAACATTCATGAGCTAGCGAGAGAGAAAGAGAGAATATCGCAAGACTGCGGGGGGGGGGGGGGGAGGGGTGGTAGCATTCGCGAGGCAATGGGAGAGTGCCATAGGACTATGGAGAGTCGTAGCACGTGTTAGTTAGTGAGAGAAAGTGGTGTATAACTGCGGGTAGCCGCAGCCTTATTAGTCAGGGTATGACGCAGAGCGGCTCTTAGGCATGGGTAGCCTTACCAGAGGAGTCTGTGAGAACCTGGTGACCGAACCAAAGGCAAGACTGGGGTCTCGGCAGTGGTCGAAAACCATTGTGTTTTGAGATATAGAGGGCTTGTCGCGAATCGGACGGATCGAGGTGTCACGCATACGTATAATCGTGGAACATGGGTCATGAGTTAAGCGCTAGAGTGGAATGAGTGGTTCCAATTATGTGATGGAGCAGACTCTGATGAGTGAGTTTGGTTCTATCTGTTTGGAGGTCGATCAGGTTGGGATTTCGAGTGGATCTCATTCTGAGAGGGATGTGTTTCCATCTGATGTTTTAGACCTGAGTAGTCTAGTTCGTTGGTTTAGGAATGGACAGCAAGACACATGGAACTAGCGAGTAGTAGACGACAGAGGTCGGAGGTGAGGCGGCTTCAGAAGGGATGTAGTATTCGCTTGGGGTAAAGCAAACTTCGTGACTTGTGCGTCACGATGGGCCGAGATAGTCATTGTGACAAGGAAGCTGGTAAGTCGTATTATTGGGTGTACAGTGAGTAACCTTTGGAGGTTCAACTATTGGGTCGAGAGTTGACCTGGTGCTCAGTGTTTAAAGGGATATGTGAGAGGGAGTTGGGGCTTATGCTCATAGAGGTCCGAGGATACTTCTGAGGGGGAACGATCATTTTCTTGTATTAGGAACAGAGTATTGGGGTACGTCTTGTTCAGATGGGTTCTGATAACAGTGCAGTTGAGGGGTCTCTCGTGAGATGTGACCCTTTTCGTTCCTTTGGAGTACGACCTGGATCGACTGATATGTCGAGTATGAGTGTTCGGCAGTTGTTATGGTTAATGATCTGATTTCATCGATCGCATCAAGATAATTAGAGC